GTAGATCCCAGTCACAGGGGATGCTAGCTCCAGAGCCAGGAGGGATCTCAGAGGCCATCTAGGCCAACCCCTCCATTTTACAGCAAACTGAGGGGCCCCAGAGGTGAAGCACCCAAGGTCCCACAGGTACTTATTGAGGCAGCGTGAGAGGCATCGAGCATCGCGACAGAGCAAAGCTATATCTAGCTCCCCTCTGCTGCTTTGCCTGGGCCGTACTGACAGCCTGGAGGATTAGAAACCACCTTTTTGATATGCGCCTTTAATAGCAGTAGTGGTCATTGTATGGCACTTTGCCGTTTATCTCATGTTCTTCTCACAGTGTCCCTAGGACAGGTGACATTTTCCCCATTTGACAGAGAAACCGAGACAATGTGATTTGTTTAAGGTTAGAGGCAGAGATAGCACTCTATGTAACACTGGGCTCTGGGCTCCCATCCTTGGGGTTTTGGGTTGGTTTTTTGTCCCATAGTATATTGCCCCCCTTGCCCATTGCATCCGTAGAAATTTGGTTCAAGGGAGTTAGAATAGATTTCTAAAGTCCTTCTCAGCTCAATATTCTGGGTTCTAAGGCCCTCCCAGCTCTGACATTCTCTGTTCTAAGGCCCTCCCAGCTCTGACATTCCGTGTTCCAAGGCCTGACATTCTGTGTTCTAAGGCCCTTCCCAGCTCTGACATTCTGTGTTCTAAGGCCCCTTCCAGCTCTGGCATCCTGTGTTCTAAGGCCCTTCCCAGCTCTGACATCCTGTGTTCTAAGGGCTCTCCCAGCTCTGACATTTTCTGTTCTAAGGGCCCTCCCAGTTCTGACACTCTGTGTTCTAAGGCCCCTCCCAGCTCTGACATTCTGTATTCTAAAGGCCCTCCCAGCTCTGACATTCTCTGCTCTGACATTCCATGAACATGCTAGCTTCTTAGATGGGAAGAGGCAAGTCCGTGGGCCACTGGCCCATATGTGGCCTACTGTCCCTGTCAGTTGTCTTTCCAGCAATCCCCCCCAGAGCCAGAGCCTCTCACTCTCGCAGGGCCCTCCCTGTGTTGAGGCCTGGCTCTCCACGTCCTGTATGGGCTCAGATGATAATGAGAATGGACAGATCTCATTAACATCTGCCTGTGTACCAACTTGAGGCCATAAGTCAGATGGAGCATATGGTCTGTCCTCATTTAGCTTCAGCAGCAGGTCACCTGTAAAATGGCGGAGTTAAAATAGCGCCATTGCTCCCAACAAATGTCTAAAAATAGGCCCAGCTGGAATGGGGGCTGTGGAAAGTTAGGGGTGTTTTCCAAGGGCCTGGTATTGGGCCTGGTGTTTTCTGGGGGTGTGAGGCTCACCCTTCTTCTTGCCCCAGAGGATGTGGATGTGGATGGACCATCTACTAGAAAGCCTGGGCTTAGGGAGGGTGGAGGAAGTGAGAGGCTCTGAATTATATTTGATTGGGCAAGGCTCCACTGAGCTCCTCCCATATGCTCTCCCTTGTGTGAAATATATGAGTCTGACTAGATAGTGAGGCCGACTTTGTTTTGGAGAAACTTTAGAACAGAGCCCAGTATGAAGTGAAGGGAGGCTTTCTGGAGGCCTGGTGTTGTACAGCATGAGCACTGTTCTGGAGTCCCATCCTTCCTCTGACGCTACTGCTCGTGTGACCTTGCCTCAGTTTCCATTTCCATAAAATGAAAGGGTTGGATAAGGGGTCTTGAAGGTCCCTTTCAGCTCTGTGATGTTACTCTAACTTGAGACCTTGGGGTGAGCCTTGAATGAGGGATAGGACTGGAGTTGGTGGAAGGCTGATGGGAGATTACTGGGGGTTGGGGAGGCAGGAAGAGGAGGCAAGAGGAAGAGGAAACGAGGCTTGTGCTTGGCTCCAGGGAGGAATGAGGCAGGGCAGGTAGGGCCTGGGCTGCAGGTGGAGCAGAGGCTACAAGTGGAAGGGAGTCTCTGTGAAGCTTTGGGAGCGGAGTAACCAAGCATTTGTGATCAGGGCTGCTCCTGATTCCTAATCCCCTCGGGGCTGGACCCCTCAGCCTCCTTGTCACCACCTGGCTGGCCCGGACCTCTTCTCTAAACAACTGGTGTAGACTAGATGTGCTCTGAGGTGCCTTCTGGTTTAAATCTGTGATCCAATGTGGATCCTGTGACTGGTGTCCATTGTAGATTAGAACTCTGTGTTGTAGGATTTTGTGTGTAATGTTCTAAGAACCTTAGAACATAAATTGTCAGAGCTGAAAGAGATCTTAGAACCTAGAGTACCAGAGCAAGGAAGAATCTTGGAACATAAATTATCAGAGTTGTCAGCTAGGAGGGCCCTTAGAACACAGAATGTCAGAGCTGGGAGGGCCTTTAGAACATGGAATGTCAGAACTGGAAGAGGCTTTAGAAAATGGAATGTCAGAGCTGGGAGGGGCCTTAGAACAGAGAATGTCAGAGCAGGGAGGGGCTTTAGAACGTGGAATGTCAGAGCTGAGAAGGCTCTTACAACATAGATTCTCAGCTTGGAAGGGCCTTAGGATATAGAAAGTCAGAGCTGGGAGGGGCTTTAGAAATCCTTTCACTTGGTCTCCTGGTTTCGGGGGCTGTAACCCAGCATTCCTGCCTCTCATTCCGTTGAGGTTCTCCTTGGCCCATGATACTTCTCCAGAGTCCTTCTTACTTCCCAGCTGGGCTGCCCAGCCCTCTCTCCCACCACAGCCCCCATACCCCTCGGTGGTACCAGCCTAGCAAACACACTGAACCCAGATCAGAAGTCTTCCTGCCTCCTTCTCCTTTGCCATGGTTTTCCGTAGGCAGAGGCATGGATCAAAGTTGCAGGTAACAAAGCTAGAGAGAGGTTATGTGGCCCGGTGGGTGACATGTGGCCTGTCCTCGGACTCACGAAGTTCTGAGTTCAAACGCTGCCTCAGCCACATTCCAGCTGTGGCATCCTGGGCCAGTCATTTTTACCTCTTGGTGCCCTGGGCAGCTCCCTGAGGCTGGAAGTTACAGGTGAGGTGCTAATCTGCATTGGTCAAGGGAATTTCCACACTGGGAGTTCTTTACATTGATGAGCTCACTGGAAGCAAAGATAAATTAATGAAGCGAAGTCAATGAGCATTTCTTTGGCACCTGCACTGAGCTAAGCACTGGGGATACAAAGCAAGTCAAACACAAAATGTTACCCTCACGGAGCTCCCAGGCTAGTGGGAATGGATGGAATAGCTGATAGGGAAAGTCAGAACCCGAAAAGATCTTCACAGGTTAGAAGGTTGGACTGAAACACATCAGGTGGAATTGAATAGAGGTAAATATACAGTCTGTCTTCTGGATTTTAAGGATCTAGGGTGACCCCTCCACTGACATAGATTATAGTTCCTTCTGTGTTTGGGTGATGGCCTCTCTGTATTGCTACGTCCTCCAGAATTGGTCACCAGGCAAACTGGGGATGAATGAGTCCCTTGGGAGGCAGCGATGCTGGGCCTCGAATGACAGATGATAGGGAGAGTCCCTCCCTGGGCCTGAACCCAAAGCCTTTGGAGCTTGTAGGGCCCAGTAGAGCTTGAGCTCCCTGAAGGGGAACCGTGAGAGCCCACACTTCTTTTTTTTCATGTGAGGCAGTTGGGGTTAAGTGACTTGCCCAGAGTCACACAGCTAGGCAGTATTATGTGTCTCAGGCCAGATTTGAACTCAGGTCCTCCTGACTCCAAGGCTGGTGCTCTATGCACTGCACCACCTAGCTGCCCCCACACTTTCTTATGAGTGTTGTCCTGGCACCGTGTAATCCCAGAAGAGTTAGGGAGTCACTGGTATTCATTAAGGGGAAGAGGGTTCCATGGTCAGATCTGAGCATTAGAGTATTGAGAGGCTTGAAGCAGGGAGACCAGAAAAAAGGTGCAATAGCAGTGGTCCAGGTGAGAGGTGATGAGCGATTCAGCTAGGGTTGTGGCTGCATGAGTAGAGAGAAGGGGATATAAGTGAGAGATGTTGTCAAGGTAGAAAGGTCAAGGGTTGGTGATGGATTGGATTTGGGGGTGAGGCTGAGGATGCCGTTGAGGTTGTCAGCCTGGGTGCCTGGGACAGGCTTTTCCCAGAAAAGAAAAGTCTGGAGGTGGTGACAGGGGGGATTAAATAATGAGGCCTGTTTGTGCGTGTTGAGTTTGACATGTCTACAGGAGTGTTGAGTTTGAGATGTGTACGGGATACCTGCTTCAGATGTCGAGGAGACAGTCGGAGATGCGTGATTGTAGCCCAGGAGAGAGACTTCGCTGGCTTTGCAGATCTGAGATCATGATTGAACCCATGGGAGCTGATAAGAGCCCCAAGGGAGATAATAGAGAGTGAGAAGAGATGGGGACCCGGGTCAGAGCCCTGGGGGGTTCCTACAGGCAGAAGGCTTGGAAAGACTAGACTTGTTTTACAGCAGAAGTTCAAGGAAAACATGTCTGGACTCATAATAAAGAAGGGTGTTAACAGTTTCAGTTGACTGAGAGTAGACTAGACTGTTTTCAGAAGTGGTGGGCTCTTCTCCCTAGAATTCTCTGAGCTTAGGGCTGGGGTGCGCTCCCCTGGTTGTGTTAGATTGTTTGTTTGCTGTTACTGGCGTTGGGCTGATGCGGTTTGGACTAGATGACCCCTGGGGTCTCTTCCCAGTCAGATTCTGTGACCCCTCCCCCAATGCACAGGAGAGTGGCAGCCCGATTACCCAGGGGCGGGCGGGAGAAGGAGTGGTGGGGAACACAGTGGATTCTAGTGCCGATGGTGGTGTTCCCATTATTCCAGGAAGGTTTCTTTTCCGAGGAGGGATTTCAGGTTTTTCATTTGGGAAGGCGGAAGTTTGGCCAGTTGGGAAGGAATTTAGCTTTGCTGAGTGCCGAGCATCCAGAAGTCAGAGGGGTGTGCCGAAAGTTTTGAGACCGAGGAGGTCAACGGGCGACCTTGGCAAGTGTCTGTTGCCATGAATTAGAGAGAACGGAAACTACATTGGAGAGGGTCCAGGAGGGTGCTGGAAGCACAGCGTGCATTCCAGAGGAAGGAGAGGAGACAGCAAGACTGTAGGGGTCCTAGAGAAAGAGAGCGCAGGCTGGAGCATCAGCCATGGATGCAGGGGGAGCGTTGGAGAATATCACAGAGCTCCTGGGGGAGTTGGCCCTTTGGAAGGAAATAGGAAGGAAACAGGAGATCCTGCTTGTAGTTGGAGAGATTGCTGTTAGAGAGAGGAAGGCAGTCATACCTGTGGAGCAGACCTCCGAGGTGGTCTCATCCAACCCCCTCACTTTAACAAGGAAACTGAGGTCCAGGGAGATTACCCACAATTACGTAGGTGAGTATCGACAACAGGCTTTCATCTGAGGTCTTTTGGATTGCATAGCTAACTGGTGGGTTTTCTTATCTATTTACAAATGTCATCAGTTTTTTTTTCAATTAACAATTTGTGTTCTTCTTCGTCCCACCTCCCTTCCACTCATTGGGGAAAAAAAGAAAAGGAAAGAACTTTTGTAACACAGTGGCATGGATTAGTAAAACAAATCCCCGTGTTGGCCATGTCCAGCATTATGTGCCTCATTCTTCATCATCTGTTAAGAAGTGGCTAGTGTGGGACAGCTAGGTGGCACAGTGGATATGGCACCGGCCTTGAAATCAGGAGGACCTGAGTTCAAATCCAGCCTCCGACCAAACACTTGACACTTACTAGCTGTGTGACCCTGGGCAAGTCACTTAACCCCAATTGCTTAAAAATAAAAAAATAATAGTAGTAATTAAGGAGTGGCTAGTGTGGTTCAGGGTCACTCTGAGGGCCACTTTCTGGTCTGCATTGGTGGACTGATGAAATTCAGGGTCCAGCCCTGGCAGTAGGTCACTCCAGACTAGTTTTTAGGCAGGTCACTTTCCCCAGGGCAAGCTTCTTTGCCTATAAAATGAGGGGGTTAACCAGGCACCCTTTCAAACCCCTCCTGGTTTTAGCATTCCACGTTCCTTCAAGAACAGGGAGAAAAGAAGCAAAAAGGACAGAGGGCAGAAATTTCTTCCTCCCCCCAATGTTTAATCCACTTCCCTTCATATTGTTTTCGAGGAGTGGAGGGTGGAGACAGCCTGAAACCACAGTGTCTTCTGGTGCAGCCACCAGAGGGTTAATTAGATGAAGGTGCCACAGTCTGTTGTGGCCTGTGGTTTAGCAAAGCCCATGTTGCCTGCCAGAGCCTTGCTGGAGACGCCCTATCGCAGCTGCCTGCTTGGCCTTCCAGTTTGCACATCTGCCAAGTGAAGTACATGGACAGGTGGCCTCGAAGGTCCTTGTAGCTCCAGGTGTGATCCTCTGATCCTTGTCTCTAAAGCAGTGAGCCCATGACACCCACTTCACCACCCAGAGAGCTGTTAGGACAAAGAATAGAATAGAGAAAAAAGGCAGATCAGCAAAACTGAAAGTGTCACCTAACAGTAAAGACAGTGTTTCTCACGGCGTCCCACCTCTGTAAGAGAAGAGAGGGAGGTTCATTTATAATTACGTGTCTGTTATTTTCATTATATGTTTCTGTTCTTTACATCAACATTGTTATAGTCATTGTTTGTTGCTTACTTTACTTTGTATCTGTTCATATAAATCTTCCCGTGCTTCTCTGCATTCAGCATTGTTTCCAGGCCTTTGCTTTTCTGAATGGTGCTGCTGTGAATATGCTTATGAGGGCCTTTATATCTGACTTAGGCCTTCAGCCTAACAATGGGCTTTCTCCCTCTTCTCGTCTCTGCTTCCCTCATGAGGTCGGGGGCATTGGAGTCCCCCTCTTCATGGAGGGGGCATGGCCGAAGTCAGGGATCTAGGAAGTGGATGAGGCTGGCCTGAAACCCAGGCTTCTCAGGGCCCTGTCCGCTGTTCCCAGCTGTGTGACCAGGGCCCATGTTTCACTGGATGCAAATGCTTACCCCAGAAATTCAAGTAGGGAGCTCTGGCTGCATTGGGTTCTGGCTTTCCTCCGAACCTGAGGCCCAGGCCACCGTTAGCCCTGAATCCCTAGCAGGAATTCCTCCTCAGCTCTGCTTGGAGATATCCATCCAGAGGGAACCCACCACCTCCCATTTTTGGATAGCTCTGATTGTCAGGATGTTTTTCCTCAACTGGCTGCTCTTAAATCTTCCGCTCAGTAACTTCCCTCCATTGTTCTTCGGGGCCAGACCAACCAAATCTAGTCCTTCCTCCTCGGGAGAGGCCTTCAGAGGCTTGGAGACAATGCTCCTGCTCTCCTTCAGTCTTCTAGCCCTGCGCAATCTTGGCCCATTCTCACTGCTCTGTGATCTAGCCAAACCCGCCTTACACAGGACACTCCTATCCCATCTCCATGACTTTGCCCAGGCCATTATCGGTGCCCGGGAGGCCCTTCGTCCCTCCCTCTGCCCCTGAGAGTCCATTTCTCCTTTTAAGCTGCATCCCAAGCACCATCAAGAAGCTTTTTTTCTGGTTCGCCCAGCTGCCAGTGCCTGGCTCCCCTCCCCTCCGGCCTTGTGGTTAACAACTTGCATTTATTTTGTTTTAGCTCTCTTTGTGCCGCATAGACTTGTGCTGCCCTCCCCCCACCCCCGTTAGGATGTAAGTTTTCTACAAGTAGAGATCATGATTTTTTGTTTATGTATCCCCAGCTAGCATGCAGTGCCTGGAATAAATGTTTGTCAGTTGATTGACTCTCCAGGTCAGATGTCCCCACTTCCTGTGACTGATTGCCACGTAATGTGGTCTTGCCATCTCCTACTCTTTATCTCTGGACCAGTTCCATTTTGTTAACTGTTTCTGCTAAAACTTAGTGCTTAGAATGAGACAGGTGTTGGGGTTTTTTTTTTTTGTGGTTGTTGAATTTTGTTTTGTTTTTTCAATCCCCAGCACTTAGCACTGTACCTGGAACATAGTGGGTACTTAATAACAGCTTCTTGGCTGTCTGACTCGGTGTTCCCAGTGTGTCTGACTGGAGCTGTGGGCAGTAGGACTCCCACCTCCTTCGTTGTGAAAGGTGGACTCTGGGGGACGTGCAGGACCACGCTGGTGGGACTCTGGGGTCTCCTGCTGCACCGTCTTTCAGCTCCTCTCAGGCAGGCTGCCTTCTCTACGTGGCCTTTCACAGGCTCTCCTGCTACAGTGACCCTCCAGGCTCTGTGGCCCATTTGAAGCCAGACTGCCCTCTGCCTCTGGCACCCTCGGGGCCCTGCCTGGTGTGTTCTTCCCCTAGCTTTGCTCATGTCCCTAGAAAGCTCCCAGACATTGCCTTTTGGCCTCTCACCGAACCATCCTGAGCTGCTCTCCCAGGGGCAGTGTGGCTTCCCAACATGGAGGAGGGAGGTGGGGTGTGAATGAAAACACCAACTTACTCTGCCATGCTGGGTCCAGAACATTCCTCCTCCTGCCTGTTGAGGCCCCCGGGCCTTGGCTGCCTGCTGTCTGGCTTTTCTTGCCATTGAATCATAGGATTTCAGAGCTGATTAGGAATCATCAAACCCCAGCTCAAATGTGTTCACCGGTGGGGAGCTCCCTAGCTAGTCAGGCAGCCCAGCCCTTTTCCAGATAGTTCCAGTGGTTAGGAAATTGTTCCTTACGTGGAGAGGTAGGGAGGTTCAGTGGGAATTGTAATGAGCTTGGGGTCAGAAGACTCAGGTTTGAGCCGCCACTGTGTGAGTGTTGTGGCAGCTGTGTGACCTTGGGCAGGTCCTTTGCCCTCCCAGAGGAGCCTTGGTTTCTCCATTTGTCAGATGGCTGCTGTCATGTTGGGCCCAAATCCTCCTTATAAATACCTTTTATTTGCATGGAGCTTCTTCAGGGCTCATATACATGGGAAGCAGAGCTGGTGGTCTGGAGAGTGTGTGTGTGTATGCGTGTGTGTGTGTGTGTGTGTGTGTGTGTGTGTGTGTCTGTCTGTCTGTCTGTGTCTATCTGTCTGTCTTTCTGTCCCTGTAAGTGGGTAGCACTCACCTTGGACTCAAAGTCAGGAAGACTTGAGTTCGAATTTGGCCCCAGATACTTAGGAGCTTTATGATCTGGGCAGCTCACTTAGCCTCTAGAGGTCTACCTCAGTTTGCTCATCTGTAAAATGGGAATAATAATAATAATAATAATAATAATAATAATAATAATAATAATAATAATAATAATAATAGCTCCCAACTCCCAGGGTTGTTGTAAGGATCAAATTATTTAATACAGGGTGATTCAAAAAGAATTAAACACTTTGCAAGTGTTATTATTCAGTAACTAAGTTATATGTGAACATGTAGTCAGAACCGATTTGTCAAAGACCTATCTGGGAAATGTCAGGGGGTAAATCTACAGTTTGGTGCTTATAATATACTCACATATAACCTGGTTACTGAGTAATACATTTTGCAAAGTATTCAGTTCTTTTTGAATCCCCTTGTATATGTAAAGTATTTTTCAGGCCTGAAAGTGTGATGTAAAGTTTAGCTATGGTTGTTGTTTATGGTTATTATTATTATTTTTTTGTCCTTCCTCTTTGTCCCCTGATGGTCTCCAGGTGTCCAGGCCCTGCTCCCACTTCCAGTCTTCCCTGGGATGCTCTCTTGAATCCTTATTATCCTTGGTGATCCCACACCTGGTTGACCCCATCTGCCATCCAGTTAATTAGCTAATCCAGCCCCCAGCTCTCCCTGGATCAGGGGGGACATGGGCAGCTGGGGGCCCTGCCAAGACATGATTCTGTCATTGCCAAGCTCTGTCTAGTTTGAGGAAATAATGCTCTCCCCTACTCCCATCACCATCACGTTCGTTCCCCTCAGATCCTCCTGGCCTTCTTGTCTGTTACCGTGGCTTCCACCTTCTTGGGAAGTCCTCCCTTGGTCTAGTACCAGATGAGGACACTGTCTGGCTGGATCAGAGTATCTCTTTGATGTCACTGAGGGACTGTGGTTGCCCCACCCCAGCACACACACACACACACACACACACACACACACACACACACACACACTCTCTCTCTCTCTCTCTCTCTCTCTCTCTCTCTCTCTCTCTCTCTCACTCACTCTCACTCCCTCTCCTTCTTAGTATGGGATGTCATTGAGCAGCTCACATAGTCATGAGTGGTCATGATTGCTCTCTTCCCCCCTCCCTTCTCCTCCTCAACCAGAGTTACCTGAGAACTGGACAGACACAAGGGAGACCCTGCTGGAGGGGATGCTGTTCAACCTCAAATACCTGGGCATGACCCTGGTGGAGCAGCCGAAAGGCGAGGAACTCTCAGCGGCCGCCGTGAAGCGCATCGTGGCCACGGTGAGTGCCGTGGGACTGGGGTGGTTTCTCTAGGATTGGGCCTGGGCCTTTTGCCTGTGCTGGACTGTGTAGGGCAAGTGTGGCCTTCATCTTTGGTAATGGATTGGGGTGTGAAATGAAGAAATCTTGGCCTGCCCTAGGCACAGGTCCCTGGCCTTCAGCTACCTCTATGACGTAAATGAGAAGGGGACAGAATGGCCTAGTGGAAAGAGGCCTGACCTTGGAGTCAACAGCCCCAGGTTCACAGCCTAGCACTGCTAAGGCCTGGAAGTGTAACATTGTACGGATGACTTCTCTGGGGCCCTGGTTCCCTGCTCTATAAAATAAGGGTTGAACCAAATGCTTCTTTCAGCTCTAACAGTCTGAGTCTGTGAGCCTGTGTCTGTAAGAACACATTGTTCTGAAATCCTCTGGGAGACAGGCGGTGGCAGCCCCCGCTGCTGTCAGGGGGCACCGAGGGGCCGGGGGTGGAGTTAGAGGCCAGACCTGTGTGTGGAGCCTCCTGTGGATTCCGGATCTGCTCTCTTTCCTGCCCACGTGTGCCAGGGATGAGAAGAGCAGGATTTGGGCCTAGGTTCTTGGTGGAGGGCTCCGTAAGACAAGAGGGGGATGGGAAGCCCCCCAGGGGCTCGAGGGGCAATGGAAGTGTTTCTGGGTGGCCTTTTCTTCTGGCCCCCTCGCAGGGGACAGGCCGGTAGCTCTTCACGGTGACCACAAGGGCAGGGTACCCTTCCTAGGACTCCTTGTTGGTGATTTTACCTTTTTTTTAAACCTCTTTCAAAGCCTTTGCTTTGATATTTCCCAGTTCTTGTGCCAGCTCTCATATGGGCCTTGGGGCAAAGAAGGGCAGGGGATCCCAGTGCTCAAGGGCTGAGCTTGGTGTTCCAGAGGCATCCCCAAAGGCCTGCTCCCCTGGACACAGTCTGCTCCTTCCCTTTGGCTAGGTCACAAAAGCAACCAGGCACCCAATCAGCCTCTCCAGACTGGTGGCCAGGAAGGAGGAAGGAGGCTGCTCCAGAATGGAGAATGGTGCTGCCCTCATTTTTTCTTTCCTAAACCCAAGGTCTCCCCTTCTCCACTCATCTCCCTCAGCCCAGAATTATCAGATGTCCAAGCTGAGAGGACCCTTGGAACGTAGAATGTCAGAGCTGAGAGGGCCCTTGGAACCCAGAATGTCAGAGCTGGGAGGACCCTTAGAATACAGAATTTCAGAGCTCAGAGGGCCTTTAGAACGCAGAATTTCAGAGCTGGGAGGGTTCTTAGAACCCAGAATGTCAGAGCTGGAAGTGTCCTTAGAATACAGAATGTCAGAGCTGCGAGGACCCTTAGAATACAGAATTTCAGAGCTGGGAGGGTTCTTAGAATCCAGAATGTCAGAGCTGGAAGGGTCCTTAGAACACAGAATGTCAGAGCTGGGAGGACCCTTAGAATACAGAATTTCAGAGCTGAGAGGGCCCTTAGAGCACAGAATGTCAGAGCTGAGAGGGCCCTTAGAACACAGAATGTAAGAGCAGGGAGAGTCCTTAGAACACAGAATTTCAGAGCTGGGAGGGTTCTTAGAACATGGGATGTCTGAGCTGAGAGGGGGACTTAGTGCCCCTGAAGTCCAACACCCCTCCCTCCCCCCAGTAGAGGAATAACCTGATGCCCAGATTGGGGAAGCACTGTGCCCAAGGTCAGTTATTGTTGGACTAGAACTGACCTCTCCTGACCACTCCTGCTGCATCATGATACCAGAGCCTCCAGAAAAGGCCTTTGAGACTCAAGACATGCTGACCCTGTCCATAAGAAGCTTTCGAAGCAGCTGCGCTTGGTGAAGCAGCTGAGGAGTGAAGCCAGGGGCTCAGCCACGGGGGGCAGGACCTACAAGGGAAGGAGCCCTTACAGCCCTGCGAGGGCGTGGGGTGGCCTTAAAGGATGGCGAGGTGGCCAGGCCGGACCGTCAGCCAACCTTGTCCTCTTCTCTCCCGAAGGCCAAAGCTAGTGGGAAGAAGCTCCGGAAAGTGACCCTCAAAGTGTCCCCGAGGGGCATCATCTTACACGACAGCGGGACCAGTGAGCTGATTGAGAACGTTTCCATCTACAGGTAGGCCCTGCCCCCAGAGGCTGCCCTCTTGAAGTGTGAGCGGGTGTCGGTGGGATGAGTGGGCAGCGTCCCCCCTCCCCCAGAAAGCGTAGGATCATTGGCCTAGAGCTGGAGGGGACCTTGTGGGGCTGTCCAGTCAAGCTCCCTCATTTTACAGGTGAGGAAACTGAGGCTCAGAGAGACTGAGCGACCTGCCCAAGGTCACATAGGTAGTAAGTGCGTGCTGGGGCAGAATCTGAACCCAGATCCTCCAAATTCAAAGCCGGCTCTTTTCCATATTGTGCTGTTTTTAATCCATTAAATGCCTCAATTAATGTTATCGCTTCAATACATTGGTGGTCACGGATCTTATTAATGAGTATTCCCTGCAGGGCCCAGCGCAGCGCATGGCACATAGAACGGGCTTCATAAATGTTTGTTCGCTGACTGATACATGCTGCAGCCCATCTGTGCCTCAGGTGACCTTGAGCAAATCTCTCCACCTCTCTTGACCTCAGTTTCCTCATCTGTGAGATGAAGTGATTGCCTTTGATTTGTAAGGTCCCTTTCATCTGTAGATCAGTAGCACACACGAGGTACTTGTTAACTGAGTGACTGACTGATCCACCGGTTTTCTAGTGCTGCAGTGACCAAAAAGTGCACCCCCTGGTGGCAGACTGGCCCCCCTCCGGAGACCTTTGAAGGCCCTGGTGTTCTTGCTTTCTCACCCCTCTAACTCGTTGATCCTGCTAAGTAGGAGAGGGCATGGTGTGGAGTGGAAACACTGCTAGGTTTAGAAGGAGACATGAGATCGAATCCTGCCTCCACCATTTTACTGCCTCTTGCATCGCATTGGGGGTGTCACTGAACTCTGGGTCTCAGACTCCTCCTTTGTGGAGCAAAGGGATGAGACCAGATTAGGGCTCCTGGACCCCTTGGGGGCTCAGGGGAGGCCTTGGACCCCTTCTCAGGAGAATGCCTTCCAGTGCATGAAATGAAGTACGTAGGATTATGTAAGAAAACCATTCTATTGAAATACAGCTATCAAAATTAAAAAAAAAATCCCCAAACAAGTTCATAGATCCCAGGTTAAGAACCCTTGGAATAGACGATCTGTGAGATTACTTCCTTTTTCTTTTTCTTTTTCTTTTTCTTTTCTTTCTTTCTTTTTTTTGGGGGGGGCAAGGCAGTTGGGGTTAAGTGACTTGCCCAGGGTCACACAGCTAGTAAGCGTCAAGTGTTTGGTCTGAGACCAGATTTGAACTCAGGTCCTCCTGACTCCAGGGCTGGTGCTCTATCCACTGTGTCACCTAGCTGCCCCTGAGGTTACTTCCTGTTCTAAATCTTCGATCCGAAGGGAAGCTTCATGAGGGCAGGGACTGTTTTGTATCCCCATCTGACCAGCACAGTGCCTGGCACACAGTAGGTGCTTAACAAACCTTTGTTGAGTTGTATTGACTGAAGCATCTTCTTCCCAGCAGTCCTGTGGGTTGGGCAGTGAGAGTACCGTTAGCCTCCTCCTGCAGAGAAGCAAAGGGATGAGCTCAAGGCCGCACCACGAATGTCAGATTCGGACCCGTCCTCACTCCTGGGTCCATGAGGTCCCCCGCTGTCTGTGCCTTCTCCCTGATGTTGTCTCTCGTCGTATGGAGGACAGTGGCATCCGCCGATGTGGGTCCGCGCTGCCAAGGCAGGCAAGGTTCTTAATCTGCCTGGGCGCCGTGAACGTGCTTTTCCAAATGTTGTGATGATTGTGTTTCATTATCACTTGTGTCCTCTGCAGTTCTGTGGATTTTGTCTTTGTGCATCTAAGCACGTTCTCTTCCATGGGCCTTCCCAGACAGCCAAAGCAGGCAGGACGTAAAAAGACACGCCGGCGGGGGCCTCAGGAAGGGGGTCGTGTGGTCACCTGACTGGCGGTCAGCTAATCTGCTGGTGATGAGCCTCTCTGGGTGGGGCTAGGCTGCTCCTCGGATATAGCCTGAGCTCCGCCAGTGGGGTCTTTAAAAACATCTCTGCCACGCTGAGTTGTCGCAGTACACCATGGGGCCTGTGTGGCTGGAGTTTCCACATTTGGAGGTCACTTAAAGCTGCCCTTCCCTTGGAACAGCCAAGCTGGAGTCTGGGAGTTTTATGTTATCTGTTTTACAGATGAAGAAACTGAGGCTTAGAGAAGGGAAATGACCTGATGAGGGTCACACAGGTTAGTAGCAAGATGGGGCTCTCTGGCCTGAACAACAGACTTCATTATTAAGGACAAACGTTCCTGTTTTAACCCAGGGCCCTTGTTCTGCCTCCGGTTTTGACTCTGTGTGTGTGTGTGTGTGTGTGTGTGTGTGTGTGTGTGTGTGTGTGTGTGTGTGTGTGTGTGTGTGTGGTCAGCCGCAGCTGGGGTTGATTGGCTGCCTCTGTCAAAACCTACAGGCTCTTTAGGCATCGGGTGCAAAGTCTATTCTTTGGGGACTGGCCACCCAGCACTTTTGTGTTTTGATGTAGCTAACTTGGAAATGGGCCTTGGTCAATAAGGGTGGCCCTTGGGCTCTGAGGTTGCTGGCCTTTGGTTTCTCGGGCTGGGCCTAGAATGCCCCCGTGGCCTTGGATGACAAAGCAGGCCCTGTCGCCAGCCCTGAGCAGAGTGCCTCGTTGTCATCCGTCCCCTTCCGTGGAAACGTCATGGCTCCCCTCACGTCAGCTGAGGTCCCAAGGAAGAGGCCTGGGGAGCCTTTCCTGGGTGACTCTGCCCTGACCGTTCCCTCTCTGGGCTGTGGCACAGAGGCAGCTGGGAGCTGTCTGGCCGTGGGGCTGACTGGGACCTGAGCACGTACAGTGTCACTCATTCCCCTTCCCTTGGGTGGCCTCAGTCTCCCCAGCTGTAAGGCAAAAGGGGTTGAACTGGATGGGACGGTGTGGTCTCTGTGGTCAGCCTCTCTGTAGTTCAGCCCCTTTATTTTACAGGTGAGGAAACGGAGGCCAGCCAAGGGAAGGGGAATTGACTTTCCTGTGCCCTGGCACCCGGTGCCCTTGACTATATGCTCTGTTCTGCCCCTCTCTGCTCACCCATTTGAGCTGTCCAGCAACGCTGCTTATGAAGAATTGTGGTTCCCTTACCTTGCTGCTGCTCGTGTTGTGGTTATTGTTATTGCGACCTGTGGAGACTGTATGGAGGGAGGGTAAAAGGGGCATAGTTTCTCCCCGAGAAAGCTCAGTCTGGCTGCAGTCCTGGGCAGGGACACAACACAGCCTCCTGCATTGGGCAGGGCCCCGACACTATGCAGAGTGGTGGATTTGGAGGCAGGGGACCTCCTCGGCCTCTCTTTGTAGTCCTCCCTCCTGTGTGACCGTGGGTCAGCTGCATCCTCTGTCTGGACCTTGATTTCCTCATCTGTAAAATGAGGCATGTGGGCCAGCGGGCCTCCGCGGCCCCTCCAGCTCCAGAGCTCAGATTCTGTGGTTGAGCGGTGTCTCAGGACTGCTCCTTATCACCAGGCTGCTGCAGCCCGGGCCTCTGGGTCTCCTGTCTCTAGAGTGGGGGCTGATAATCCTCGTACTGCCTGCCTCGAAGGGTCACTGGAAGGATGTGGTAACTCGAGCTCACTGAAGCTGCTGCTGGGCTAGAAGCCTGGCCTCTTATTGTTGATGTGGTTTGGTCGTGTTAGACTTTCTGTGACCCCCTTGGGGGTTTTCTTGTCCAAGATGCTGGAGGGGGTTGCTGTTTCCTTCTCCAGCTCATTTTACAGATGAGAAAACTGAGGCAAACAGGGGTAAGTGACTTGCCCAGGGTCATACAGCTAGTAAGTGTCTAAGGCCAGATTTTAACTCTAGCTACCCTTGAAGCCCCTCCAGCTCCCGTCAATTAGTGAATGATGGCCTGAGGCTGAGGGTGTGGGGAGGAGGGCCCCAGCTTCTGGCTCCTTTTTGGAAGCCTGCTGACTCCTCTTCAGATCAGATCTGGATGGAGTCATTGAGACTTGGAAGGACAATTCTTGCCTAAGCTTGTGTGATGAGATAACAGGGCAGGCTGTGGCAGGGAGCTAAGCAGGGTGAGCCCAGGCACAGGCTGCCCTGGGGAGAAAGCCAGAGAGAAGGCAGTAGTAACTGTCCTTCTCCTCTCAGCCTCTTCTGTCTCAACACACACACACGCCACACACACACACACACACACACACACACACACACACACACGTGCGCACACATGCGTGCACACAGCTCTCAAGTGCGACTTCAACAAGCCTCTTCTCTTCGGTGGTCCTCCATTTGCTCATCTGAAAATGAAAAGTTGGTGTCCCTCCCAGCTCTGATATTCTGTGTTCTAAGGGCCTTCCCAGCCCTGACATCCTGTGTTCTAAGATCTCTCTCAATTCTGACATCTTATGTTCTAAGGACCCTCCCAGCTCTGACATCCTGTGTTCTAAGGCCCCTCCCAGCTCTGACATCCTGGGTTCTAAGGGCCCTCCCAGTTCTGACATCCTGTGTCCTAAAGACCCTCCCAGCTCTGGCATTCTCTGTTCTAAGGCCCCTCCCAGCTCTGACATCCTGGGTTCTAAGGGCCCTCTCAGCTCTCACATTCTGTGTTCTAAGGGCCCTCCCAGCTCTGACATCCTGTGTTGTAAGGGCCCTCCCCGCTCTGACATTCTCTGTTCTAAGGGCCCTCCCAGCTCTGGCATTCTCTGTTGTAAGGGCCCTCCCAGTTCTGACATTCTGGGTTCTCAGGGCCCTCTCCCCTCTGAATTCTGTGTCCTAAAGACACTCCCAGCGCTGACATTCTGGGTTCTAAGGGCCCTCCCAGCTCTGACATCCTGGGTTCTAAGGGCCCTCCCAGCTCTGACATCCTGTGTTGTAAGGGCCCTCCCCGCTCTGACATTCTCTGTTCTAAGGGCCCTCCCAGCTCTGGCATTCTCTGTTGTAAGGGCCCTCCCAGTTCTGACATTCTGGGTTCTCAGGGCCCTCTCCCCTTTGAATTCTGTGTCCTAAAGACCCTCCCAGCGCTGACATTCTGGGTTCTAAGGGCCCTCCCAGCTCTGGCATTCTCTGTTCTAAAGGCCCCTCCCCTCTCTGACAGTGTCTATTCTAACTCACTGTGACTTACCTTCAATAGATGTTTATCAGGGATCTGCCATGGGGCCATGGCGCTGGTCATCCTTTGGGGCCATTTCAAGACTGAAATAGCTCACAATCCCCCAGCTCCCATTTCTCTCCTATCGCATTAACGCTTACACAAGGGCTTTCTCACACCAGCCCTGCCAGGCAGGAAGGACACGTGCTTATCCCCACTGTCCAGGTGAAGAACCAGGCAGTCAGGGGAGTTCTGGAGCCCAGCGTGTGGCCAGAGGTAGAGCCCCAACCCTGGTCTTCTGACTCCGGTGCTCTTCTGCAGCCCACGCAGCTTAATCACAGCCTCCTGCTTGGGGTAGGGCCTCTGGGGGATGCCTGTGACAGGGATAGGCACTCTCTAAGAATCACTATTAAATGATAACAATACGTGGCATTTGTAGAGCACTTTCCAGTTTACAAAAACACTTACATTAACTCTTTTGAACTTTACTCCTAAGTAGGAGAAATAAAGAATTGCAAAACCAGGTGGGCACTGAGAGTGAGAGGCGTGGTGGGTGTGACTGCTGCAGGAGCTCTGGGGGGGCTGGCCTGCAGAAGCACTGCAGGGGGACCAGTCTGGAGGAGTGTGGGACCCAGGATGCCTTGGCCGTAGACCACACTGGGAGCCACAGCCCCTATTCTCCCTCAGTCTGAGCTTCTCATAATTAGCATTTATCCTCAGGGTAAGGTGGGTGAGCATTACCAGCTGCCCAGGCTGTGATAGCTCTTCTCACCTTCACTTCCTCCCTGCCCTCCCCACCTCACACATCCATCCTTCAGTGCTGCTGCTGCTCCTCTTAACTTCCTTAGGCTCAGACCTAGTGGCGTCACTTCTCTGCTCCAAGACATTCAATGGCTCCCCACTGCCTGCCGAGTAAAGGCCAGACTCCTGTGCTTGTTAAGTGAGGCCTCCCCGAGTTGGCACCCCCCTCCGTTCTTAGCCCCTTCTCATACTGTGCCCCTCTGTCTAACTTCCTTGTCTGGGCTCCAGAGCCGGGGAGGAAGGCGGGGGAAGCTGGCAAGTGCCCAGGTCCTCTGATTTCCAATCCAGCTCTCTGTTCGCTGACCAAAAGTGAGGGTGAGTGTCTGCTATTTTGCCTTCCAAGGCCCCTTCTAACTCTCATGCCCCCCAAGTCAACAATAATAGCTCATGTCTCTATAATGCTTCAGGTTGTTTATAACCCTGCTTTGAGGCAGGCAGTGAAAACATTACTTTTCCCCTTTTGAAAATTAGAAAATTGAAGCTTCAAGGGTTAATTGACTCACCCAAGGTCATACAGGTCACATGTGGCAGAACCAGGGTGGGAGGTCAGGTCTTCCACCAGAGCAGTGTTCTGTATCATCCGAATGTTGTACGTGACCCTGCTTGGTGGCAGGGGGATGGATCAGATGACCTCACCCTTCCAGCCTTGGCTCCCTAGAGGCCGCCAACGTGGTAAAATCCAGCCAGCCTGAGTCTCCCCCACACTGCCACCCACTCCCTGGCCCAGGGGGATGTGGGCCTGCCCGAGGGAGAGTCTGAGGTTGGGCAAGGGAGCCGGCTCCTAACCCTGTGCCTTTGGTCTCACTCTCCCCTCTCTCCGCTCCAGGATCTCCTACTGCACCGCAGACAAGATGCATGACAAGGTCTTTGCGTACATCGCCCAGAACCAGCAGAGCGAGAGTCTGGAGTGCCACGCTTTTCTCTGCTCCAAGCGGAAAATGGTTAGTGGGAGAGCCAGTGCCCTGGACGTGTGAGCCACTTGAGGGGGAAGAGCATGAGTTGGGAGTCACTTGTTTTGGGCCTACATACCTCCCTCCACTCCCCCCCATTCCTTATTTCTGCCCCCACAATCTTGGACACAGAGCATTACTTCATGTGTCTTCTGTGATGGTGGAAAATCTAGAGAAATATGTGGCAATTTGGTCTTTGTCTTCAGGGAGACCCCAGGCTGGAAGTGAGGAGGGAAAAGACGGGTCCTGTTCTTAGCTTGAGGAGGGGGAGTCACAGAAGACCCTGTCCTCGGGGATCAGTCCTCTGATTTGAGGGTGGAGGCATTGCCCCCATCCTCATGGAAGGGGAGAAGGAATGTGGGTGTCAAAGTATCTTAACCCTCAGAAAGCAACTGGACGTGAGGTCCTGTACACTGGGGACAGGAGCAGTGTTGGGGCCTCCAGGTCTGCCCCTGACATGCTGACCAGGTGAATCTGGGCCCTAGGTAGAAAGTCTCCAAGCCTGTAAGTCGTGGAGCAACCAACTTGCCTGGCCAGAGGGAGTTTTTTCATGGAGAGCTCCCTATGTGAATGATGGCACAGACCCAGGAAATCACAAAACAAAACTGGGTCAGGGTGAAGTCAGACAGGTGTGGTCTGCCAGGAAGACACTTCTTTTCCATCTTCCAGTCCCCTGGCTATGTGCAGTGTCCTGTGTTCTGCCTATGGGAAGGCCAGCTTTCCCCACCCTTACCTCTCGTGTTAAATGTGTGCCGAGTCCTCTAGAATCCTAGAGTTATGGAATGTCAGAGCTGGGAGGGAACCTTAGAACACAAAATGTCAGAGCTGGGAAGGGCCTTAGAATATAGAATGTCAGAGCTGGGAGGGCCTTTAGAACACAGAATGTCAGAACTGGCCGAGGCCTTAGAACATAGAATGTCAGAATTGGCCGAGGCCTTAGAACATAGAATGTCAGAACTGGCAGAGGCCTTAGAACACAGAATGTCAGAACTGAGAGGGCTCTTAATACACAGAACGTCAGAGCTGGGAGGGCTCTTAGAATGCAGAATGTCAGAGCTGAGAGGGACTTTAGACTATAAAGTCTTTCTTCTTTATTATACAGAGTAGGAAAACAAGGCCCAAACTGAGACGTTAAATTAGCTGCTGAGCTGGGCCCACAGCCCAGTTTCCCGGCCCGTCCAGGGTTCCTTCTGCTGCTGTCATTCATCCGGTACCCACTATCTGAGGACCGCTATGTGGCCCTGGTAGGAGAGGCATTGTGGGGCAGCGGAAGGACACTGAGGGTCCAGAGAGGCCAGGGTGTTCCCTAGCTCCTCCCCTGTATATCAGGGTGACGATGAACCTAGACCCCTGTGAGCCAGGGAGGATGAGCACTCCCTAAGGGCTGAGTGCGAGCCGCCCCAGAGCAGCCTCCAGGGGGAGGTCACTGGATGGATAGGGCCATCTCCAAGGGGTGGGTCCTTGCCCTTGGCTGCTTCCCCAGGCTCAGTGGCCTGCTCTGCCCGAAGCCCCCGCAAGGTGGCTGAGCAGAAGGGTCCCTCATCCCCTCATCCCAAGGCTCTTTATCTGTGGCAGAAGAAACTGGGACCCAGGAAAGTGACTGGTCTGAGGCCCTGCCTTGAGTCAGTCGGGGGCTGCTCTCATACCCAGGCCTCTTGCCTTTGTCTCTGTGCCACTCTGAGACCCTTACTGAGGTGTGTCCTGGGAAATCTTGAGGAGGGGCTCTGTGAAGAGGAGATCCTGAATCTAGGGGAGGGCTTGCTCTGTCCAACATGGCATGGGTTTCAGAACTACTGCATGGTTGTTTTTGGAAAGAAAAAGGAACTTGCTTTTTTCTCCTGCTCTTAAGATTTCCCTGCTGCACCCTGCCTTCCTCCTGAAGGGCTCCCAACACCTTTTACCCCTCTTCAGGTCCAGAATTGGAGTTTCATTAATGCAGTTCAATCTCAAAAGGCCCCTTTGGCCAAATGAAGTGGCACAGTAGATAGAGTGCTGGGCTCAGAGTCAAAAGACCAGAGTTCAGATCTCACCTCAGACATTATCTGGATGACCCTGGGCAAGGCCCCTAACTTCTTTCAGCCTCAGTTTCCTCAACTGTAAAACGGGGATAATAATTGCACTTATCTCAGGGTTTCGAGGCTCAAATGAACAAATATTCGTAAAGTGCTTTGCAAACCATAAAGCCTTGTAGAAATGTTAGTTTTATTATTGTTAGATTATTTTGGAAAATATCAATTTGGTCCAAATCCTCACTGTTCACACTCAAGGTCCTAGATGTTAGGGACTATCTCATTTTTGCTCTTCTAACTCCAGTACCTGGCCCCTAGCAGGTGCTTAATAAATGTGGACTCATCAGTTTATTTCATTCTTCAGTAGATAAGGATGGTATCACACGGTATCACAGGGTAACTCAAGACTTGGAGTTAGAAACATCTGAATTCGATTCACATGCTTTCCAGTCTTGGGACCCTTGGTCCTCCTAAGACCTCCCTGTGCCTTAAGAAACATCTGAATTCGATTCACATGCTTTCCAGTCTTGGGACCCTTGGTCCTCCTAAGACCTCCCTGTGCCTTAGTTTCCCCAGCTGTAAAATGGACCTGATGATAGCACCTACCTCCCAGGCTTGTTGTGAGGGTCAGATCTTTGCAAACCTTTAAAGCCGAAGGTCTCAAACTTTCATGTGTTATGGTCCTTTCTGGCAATCTTGTGAGATCCGTGGACCCCTTTTTGAAATAATGTGTTTTAAAAAAAAACGGCAAAAGCTCCTCATTGATGAAATGCTAGAACTTTCTGTTAGAGGTTAGTGAAAATAAAGATGTTGTTTTTTTCCCCATCCAAGCTCACAAACCCATGAAAACAAGCCGTGGGCCCCCAGTTAAGAGCTCCTGCTTTAAAGCATTATATAGACCTTATTTTGAATATTCTTATTTTGAAATTCAAATGAGATACTGTGTAAACCCTGTTGCACTTCTTCAGGGGATCTCTGTCCTTGAGAGCTCCATGTGAGGAAACTGAGGCCCCTGGAAGGAGACCAAGGTGGCGAGCAGTCCCAGGCAGACCCCCACTTCCCCCTCCAGCACCTTCTCCACCATTTGGGGCATCTCTATCTCTCTGTCTCTGTCTCTGTGTCTTGTGACGCCTGGCAGTTCTGGGCTGAGGCCTTGGCACATCTCTTTCACATTTCTGTCCCCGAGCTGAGTCACCAGTGGCCAATTGCTTAGCTTCTGAGATTCTGCTGGCTCAGATTTAAAAATACCAGCTCATTAATCCCCTTTGTTACCCTCATCCTCCCGTCCCGTCATGTGCAGCTGTCCAAGCTTGGGGCTTGGGGACGGGTTGCAGGTGGGAGGAGGGACTGGGGCTGAGGGAGAAGAGGAAGGGAGCAGAAGCAGGTTTCCCAGAAACTTAGCTCCTTCTTGGGATGGCAGAGTTTATAACTTGACTAAGAGTAAAGAAAAGATAGACCAGGAGTGAGTGGCTCAGTTCTGTAAATAGTCAGTGTGGATTAAGCACCTACTATGTGTCAGGCGCTGGCCTGAGGAGACAAAGAAAGGCAAAAAACCAGTTCTGCCCTCCAGGAGCTCATAATTTAATGGGAGTTGGGGTGGAGGGGACAGGTCCTAGCCTAATGGGCCAGGCCTCAGAGGAGATGAGGGCAGAAAGGAATCAGAGCAAGTGTGAAAGCCTTGAAGGAAACAGAAATGACCGCCCAGAACTGGCCAAGAGGTCTGCCTGGGAATGTGGGACCTGGGTGGTTACTTTCTTTTTACTGGCACACTCTACTCTGAGTTACTACAAAATTTGATTCACTTGGTGCATTATCAGGATTCCCCCCTTCTTGGCTTTTCCTGCCTTGGCCCTTTAGATTTCATTGCTTTTGCACCTGGAGAACTTTCTTTCTTGTTACAGATACCTTAAAAAGCAGGGGGGGGGCTTGTTTTGTTTTTTCTTTCTAAGAAGAACCTCAGCTCTTTTAGCCTCACCAGATGAGCAGAAAAGTAAGACATAGACTGTCAGAGCCAGAAAGGCCCTTACAACCCAGGGTGTCAGAGCTAGGAGGGCCCTTGGAACCCAGGATGTCAGAGCTGGGAGGGGCCTTAGAACACAGAATGTCAGAGATGGGAGGATCCTTAGAACATAGACTGTCAGAGCTGGGAGGGCCCTTAGAACACAGAATGTCTGGGGCAGCTAGGTGGCACAGTGGTTAGAGCACCAGCCCAAAAATCAGGAGGACCTGAGTTCGAATGCAGCCTCAGACCAAACACTTGATACTTACTAGCTGTGTGACCCTGGGCAAGTCATCTAACCCCAATTGCCTAAAAATTTAAAAAAAAATTAAAATTAAAAAAAATGAGAACACAGAATATCAGAGCGGGGAGGGCCCTTAGAACACAGGATGTCAGAGCTGGGATCAACTTAGAACACATAATGTCAGAACTGGGAGGACCCTTAGAACCCAGAATGTCAGAGCTGGGAGAAACCTTGGAACAGGAAATGTTAGAACTGGGAGGAATCTTAAAGACCATGTGGTTTGCCCCTCCCACCTCCCTCATTTTACAGAAAAGCAAACTGAGGCCTATACCATTGAAATAACTTGCCTGAGGTAACATTAAGAATTAGAGGCTGAGCTGAGAATATATTCCCTGGCTCCTAATTCTTTGTCCAGCATTCTTTTCATTCTTCCATCATTGTCATTATCATTTAAAAAAAAGCCCTCTACATTTTTTAATCTCCGCCTGTATGCCAGGCAATCAGAAATGGCCCCTGCCCTCAGGGAGCTCACATTCTGTAGGGGGAGGCAGCAGGCAGACATCCTGTATCAGGGCTGCTGGAGCATCCTTGTGCCTGACTCGTGGCGTTTGAAGGAGGCCTCCCTTCAGGATGGAGAACTTGGGCCCGGCTGGTGCGGCCCCTGCAGACAGATGTGTTGAGCCTCCTGTCTTCTTTGGAGATGATGCTCACCTACCGCTGCCTCCCTCGTCACAGAGTA